CCCCCCCTGCCGATCGAACCCTTGTCCAGATCTCATCGCTCGGAGCCGATCGGCTCCTCGCCACAGTCTGTAACTAACTACACAACGCATGCATGCCTCGATTTTCAGACACTAGCCTCTAGGTTTAGCCCACTAGAACTATCACGCAATAACTAACCGGCTGAGATGAGATGAGATCGCAGCTATAAACGATACACATCTAATGATCTATCTAGTTTCTAGCTATTCAGTATTCGCGGCTTCTGTCGTTTGCAAGCAAATGCTGCGCAATGACCCGTGATCACTAAATTCAGTCAACTTACATAACTAGTTATTATATGCTCGTAATATATGTTTAGATATCGGCTCGGCAGCATGGTTCAAGAGGTGGCGGTGTTCATTTTCACTGACTTGGTCGATGTCAGACATTAGTCCGGGCAGCAGGGACGTAGTGGTAGAGGTGAGGTTGGTGGTGAACTTGTAGCCATAGTACTTACTTTTTGAGAAATAGTATTTTAAAATAGACAGTGTTCACAATTAAAGAAAGCGCTGTCTGTGCGGCTTCGATCTGCAAGTGACGCAACAAACTCGGAGTTAAACATAACTAAGTATTACGAATTCGCACGGTGGCAAGCCGAGCAAAATTGCGGGGCCTTTGGCCCTGCCCTTTCATGGTAAATGGGGGGCTGGATATATTTTAAAAATTGGCGGGCATTTATACATCGGAAAACTATTTAAAATCGGCGTCCGAAAACCAGAAGCTTCCAGCTCCGCCTCCGTCCGCCTCCAGTTTTAAAAATCGGCAGTCTTCCTCTAATGGCACATATGGCACCTAAGTAAGTGGATGTTAGATATGTCACATATATCACATCGTGCATGTCACATATTGTTGGAGGTATGGCTCTTGTATAGGCTCTTATAGCTACTGGCCAGTGGCTATGAGAGCATTATACTCAAGCTATACTGCCTACATGTCTGTCCGCAGCACACAGCACCGCACACACTTACTGGCCACAACTCTGGCTCAGTTTATATTGTGATTGCCACTCAGTGATCGCTCAGTTTGCCGTCCACCACTGATCGCTTTGCACTGATCGCTCGTGAAGATCTAACTCGCTGTATTTGATCCTGCCGCCCGTCGAGACGACGGGCACCCTCTAGCGCCGCAAGGACTAGAGGAGAGACGGAGCGACCGGCTAACACCAACATGCATGCATC